TTTGTGCCGCTAAGGAGACCGGAACCCGAGAATCAGCCGGGGAATTTCATTCCTTTGTTTCGGGTCGGTAACTCAGCCGGGGACGTGCGATTCTATCGCCAAGAAAATTAGGTAGCTTCGCGCGCAATGCATTCCAAGGCCAGAGTAAAATCAAATGTCACTGTAAAACTGTTCCTAACAGTTGAGCACGCTTCGTCTCAATCGCATATATGTATTTAGTTGAAAATTAAGCGAAATTCCAACGATTAAAAGAACAGCAAATATGTCTGAAGGCTACGACTGCATGCTGACAGAAAAGTTGAAACAAACAATATCCGAAGTCTCAGAAGCGAAACCAAATCCCTATTCCGAGGTCCCACTGTGGTAATGCTGTTGCACTGTTATGAAACCAAATGTCAACCTCGACCGCAATGGGTCGTGGACCGCGTGCTCGACGTGACCTCGTTGGCTCGACGATAGTTTCGCACTACACCCATGCCCATTCTGTTTTTGGGTGTTTGGGAAGAAAAATCTTCTGGCCCTCTTCCACGAATCAAGATTTCTCTAGTGCCTTGTTTTTGGTAACGTAAATATTATCTATTTATGATCGATGAATCTTCGTGAGACCTATTTCCAATTTGAAGTCAATGTCCAATGCGGTAGTGGCAAGTATCAAATGTGTCGTACTCTATGTCTGTAGTCTATATTGACGGATGAGGCCATTCTATCTTTATTTGTTGACGGATCTGTTGTTTTATGATTTTCAAACGCATGACTAGAGATTATCTACTCTAAATGTCGGCTCTTACAGATGTACCAGTCGCATCTGGTGATGCGAGCACGTGTTGAGGAAGATGTTGTCAGGGCTGATGAAATCCGACGAGAACTAGAGATGTCGGAGACCATCGAGGATGAACTCCAGTATGGAGCGGTACGCTGTTTTGAAGTTCATCGTTTTCAGCATGTTCACCAATAGTCTTCTATAGCCAATATTTTGAGTACTTCAACTTTAGGAATTGTTAATGTACCGTCTGAGCTTTCTAAATTTACAGGAATCCGTTTACGGAGAGGATTATGAAGACATCGGTCCAGTGCCTTTTGAACCTATCGGCGCTGAATCGCCTACTCCTGTAGTTGCTGATATGCGTCCTTCTCCAGAAGGGTCACCCATGAAAGAGGTTGAGGAAGCACTCTATCCACCGAGTGAAAAACGAAAACGCAGCATGGAGGTATATGCTCGTCTTTCACTTCATTATACTTTTTAATATGACATCAGCATTTTTCCTTTGCAAATAGGAAACGTCGGAGAAATGAAGTCACGAAGCGCTTTCATACTCGGCATATCATTATTTTGCAGCATGCTCTACATGAATTTCTCTCTTGATTATAGGTTTGAGAAGAGTCTAACTCCAGTTTCGCGTTTAAATGGTATAAGTTTAAGGGTCGTGCTATTGAGGAAGAGGAAGCTATGGAAGGTGAAGAAGGTTATCGTTGGTCGAAACGCACCCAGAATGTTTTGAATGCTATTACGGCGAAGCTTCGCGCGACTGGCGATGCAAAGGTAAAATATCAATTTTTTATGTGAAAAATTTGTTTGAAGCCTTTTGAAGCATTGACTTCTGATATTGACTGGAATGCAGTGTGCATATTATTTTTATAAACTAATTAATTTGTGTAAATGAGGTTTGCATAATTCAGATCACCCTCAATGATCTTCTGACAAAGGGCGCAACACGAAAAACGGCTGCACAAAAGTTCTACACATTGCTGGTTTTGAAGAAATCGCAAGCAATCAATGTAGAACAGCCTGCACCTTATGAGGATATTTACATCTCCGCTGGGGTAAATATCGCACAAGGGGTTTCTAAATAATTCTGCCTTGGATCTTCTTCAGATTAGATTAGCTTATTCTCAAGCCTAATTGATGTATTTAAGTATCTTATGATTACATTCTTATTGCACTTGAAGTTACTTTAACTCATTAGTAGTTTACCAACTATTTCATATCTTAAAATCACTTACACGTTTAACCCATTCTGTCGTCATTGTTTTCCTTGATACACTGCCTTTTGAGTAACCTACTAACGGATCTGTAACTTTAACCTTACATTCATATTGTACATATTGAATTGAGATCTCACTGATAACGACAACTCATTTTTTAAAACTCCCATCCATTTTCATTTAACTCACTCAATCAAAAGTGAAGTATATTGTTTTTTTAAGTAGTACGATGTATGATTTAATCACGTGGCCCATTTTTATAACTAGTATGTTTTATTTTTTAATCTTAAGCCCTCTTAGTATCTGAAATAAATATTGAAGTGCTACTTGGCTATTGAGTTGGGTTCGCTACGTTACGTTATTTATGCTACTTACACATTTACGCACGACTTTCTTTGCTAAATATCAAACGCTTGTTATTTACAAACGAAGTAGAAGCTACTAAAAGCGAATTAGAGGATAAAGGCTATTTCGCGTCCGGAATTCGAACAACACGATCCTCCAAGTTCCGTTATAGTTCAATTTTGAGTTGTCGAGAAAGTTGCATTGTTGTTTTGGTTTCCTCAATGATTTGCACTTGTGTGTAAACACAAACAGACTTTTTCGATAACTTCTCGCTACTTTTCATAATCCACGTTTCTAGGACGATCTGCGTTAGTGGGCCAAAAAATAAACGAAGGACCAACCTGTAGCCTAATTTGAGTAGGCCAGAAGGAAGTGGTAGAGCAAGCTGAGCGTCGATTTCATTGGGAATGGGCCACGCATCCAATTTCGTTTCTAGACATAGTGACACCCGAATAGGTCATACTTGTGGTTAGGTTACCATCAACACAGGTTAGCTACCTGGCTAAGAAATTATATGGTTGAGACTCTGGGAGCTCCTGCAGCTGGTCGGGGGTCCTAAAGCGCTTGACCGGATGCTAGAACAAAAAGTCTTTGAATCGAAATGTCGACTTATTAAAATGGTTCCGCTGTAGCAACTCTGTACATCACAGAAGAAAAAAGCACTATGCAGTACTTCTAGCTATCACGATGACCGATTATGAAATAAGCTGCTTTTCCTAGTACTACCTTAAAGATTTCGCTCTGCTCTGCTTTCAACTCTGCTTTCAGACGACATCACCCATCAGGCATGTTCATGAAGACCAGGTCAATAAACACCATAACCGCTCATGGTATACGCGGCGCAGAGGTTCTTTACCCGAGTAGCGTACGTGCCGTCGTGGCAATCGCTGGCCCTTTGGTCGCACTTTGGCAGTATGCTCCTCGTTGACATCGGTTAGTAACAAGCGTAGTAATCATATTTGTCGTCTTCAGTGTGTGAATATCGTCTCACGTGACAGTCTTTGTCACCAGACGCCGACCATGAACGTAGCACTAGTATATATTCACTTGCGACCAACAGCAGTACGGAACGATCAGCGGGCCCCTTCGCAACTGTTGTTATTTCCAGGTCAGTTATTCGAGCTTTTTAGTATTCAATTTTCTTTTTAATCGAGATCTTCTTTCGAGATTTAATTAGAGCTTTTTAGAACTTAATTTTCTTTTTGATCAAGGTCTTTATTTAAGATTTACTTGATTCGATTTTTACGACATTTCGAACACTTGCTCTTATAGGATTTTCTTTACCAGTAGTCATTTTCATACTCTGATATGATATCATTCACAGTCCTCCGTCCCTCGAAATTGGTTGAATCACCGATGTCTCGAGCTTTCGTGCGTATCTGCTACCCCATTAAGAGCAGAGGGCGTTATAGTCCGATGGTAAATGTCCTGCTAAAGTTTTACAGTACTGCTCTCAGATATCTTACTATATCGAAGATGTAGCTATCCAGAAATTCTGAGCATTCCGATAGCACTCAGGTGGTAGTTAATTTAGAGCTAAGCCCTATGGAAAATGTCTAGCTGCTTGGGGTTCTTACTTTTCGCATTCATGAACTAATGTTCCTACCGAACAGTTGCATTCAGATTTGTAAAGGCGTGAATCTAATGATAAAAAGTAGTGCAACAAGTGCTATCCGTAAAGGTACTTTATTCCGATGGTCTTCAGAACTAGCATATCTTTTCACTTTTTTTTCTGTAAAGTTAAATTTTTTCTTTTCCCCCTTCTTTTCTGAAGCATTTTTTCTGGAGCATTGTTTTGCTTTTCACTCTCTTGGACGTCGTTGGAAACGCATCAATGGCAAGGTTTACGATAGAAATGGGTGCTGAGATTTCATCCGTAAGACGAACCTATGAGTCCCTAGGGTAACACATGGGACACTGTTGGGACGAAAACTACCTGACTAGGGCATCTAAGGGCTCGAGTACGGCTTTAAGGGAGGAATACATCTAAAAGTGGCAGTGTTATGATACCTGATATGATAAATTAAAACAACTAGTTATTACCCATGGGGACGGTAGTAGTGATGTCTGGTATTTTTGGCTTATTGTAGTCAGCTCCACGCAATAAAAGCAACTAGTAGCCCGTCTAAACGCAAGGCAAGGGGAAGCACTGAATGGTAGGAGAGCAGCTGCTGCTCAAAGGGTAGC